GCTTTATGATACGTAGTAGTGACTGTGCTTTATCAGAGCTTTTTTTAATGATGTTACTCTAGAATGTTCTCTCTCCAGATGATGATTAAGATGATGTTTTTTTGTTATTAATTGTTTAATGGAATGTGCTGAATGTCTATAATTTTGTTCAGATGACTGCAGAACCTGGAAAAGCTGTTGCTGCTATTGATGCATAGCATACTGCTATTATTTGTCTTTTTATATAAATATAAATATATATACATATATAATTTGAATTTTTGGAAACTTTAACTGTGCTGTCAACTTTGGAAAAAGTTATCCCAATTTATTGTGTTGAGTTGGCATTGTACAGAAATTAACAGCCATATTGGTCTAGAAATGTTAATTTTTTCCCCATTTCTACAGGGGAAATGTGATGCATTAAATATGTAAGGTCATATCTACATGGGTTTGATTACAGAAACTAATAAAATATTCTCTAAATAATGAAAAAAATAGAATAATACAAGACTACATGAGCAAGGAGCAACTTAAATATGTTCAAGGACCATTTTCATCTTCAGAATTAAGGATTATTTTAATTTTACATCATTGCCCTTTCTCTTTTACTTTCCATTTTAACTTTATTTTAGGATTCCCTATTTTTAATGTTCATATAGAGATTTCTTTAACTGAAATACCGAATAGTTTCTCTGGTGTGAAAAACTATAATAGTACACAAGATCCTAATGAGATAATTAATAATGTGAAATAGGAAGTAAAGGGCTAAAGGTGTAGGGAAGGTGGGAAGGGTGGGGGAAAGGTTATAAGGGAGAGGAAAAAATATGAGAAAATGAAAAAATGGAAATAAAGTGTTTGTAAATGGGGAAGGGAGGAGGGTGTGAAGGGAGGGCAGGGACAAGGGGAAAAACTGAGAATCAAGACCTATCATGTAAAGGTACAGGATCCCAAGAATGAATGTAATTGTATTGTATACCTAGATTTTACCAATAAACTCAATAAAAATTAAAAAAAAATAATGGAGACAGGGAGTTTTTAGTAGGGTGTTCTTTATGACCTGGATAAATGGAAGGGAGGAGCAGAAGCCCAAGTCTATCTCTGAAAACAGCAATTACCTCTGGGGACTGATGCTGCTGTTGTGACAAAGACCTCCCCTTCAGTACAGAGCTCTCCCTCACCAGGCTTCCCAGTAGCTGCAATTAGTGTTGATGAAAACATCCTTTTTTACCTGGGGTTTCCAGAAGCAGCATGTCAGTAAAAACTTATCATCTTTGGCAGAAACTCAAGAGATTCTTTGAGATCCACTTGCCCTTGATGGCTACTAGTTGACTAAAATTTGTTGGCAGTATTAGCCTTCTCTGGATGAGGAAAATACTGTCATGTCATCTCGGGAAAACAGAAACCCATCTCCTCCTGGACCTGCTGCCTCTTGTGGTCTTACCTGACCCCCTTCACTCCTCAATCTGGGTCAATGTGCCAACAATACAATCCTATACAAAACTGAGGTGCTTGGACTTGAAATAAGGCTGGTGGTTGGAGAACTGCCATGATGAGTTAAGCAGCAGAAGCACTGTCAGCTGCAATGTGGTAAACGCCAAAAGCCTCTAGTTTTTGTTTTAATTTTGACAATGACTTGCTATGCAAACTTAGGCAATGTTTATTCATCTCAGAGCCTTGCTTTCCTCTGGTCAGAAGAAAAGCAATGGGTTAGGTTTATATACTAGTTGATTTGGGCTGCCATTACAATATGTAGTAGACTATGTGGCCTAAACAACACAGATTTATTTTCTTATGGCTCTGGATGCCAAAAGTCCAAGCTCAAAGTGCCAGTAGGTTTGGTTTTCTCTGAGGACTTTTTCCTTGGCTTGCAGCTTTCTTCTTATCTCAAACCATGTGCCCTTCATGGGCATATGAAATATTTTCCTAGGTATGCAAAACTTCTTCTTCTGACAGCACTGAAGTATAGCTCAAGGAGAATGGCCAGCCATCGAGAGCAACACCAACCTGGTTCAAAATTCCATGAACGAGTTTGCGTGACTGTGCACATGTGCTCATCAGAGTGATATAAGGCACCAAGTAATCCAAATAAGCAAAATAATCCAAACAAGGGAAATATTAAAACTCTCAACCTGCTAGATATCTAAAACTAGAGCTCATGTTTTCTAAAATCAAAGTATGAATTCTAGGAACAACAGAGGTCAAGAGTAGGAAACATAGCTGGGTATTTAGCTCAGTGGTTCTGCTGCCTGCCTCGCAAGCACAGGAACCAAGGTCAATCCCCGGCACCAAAAAAAAAAAAAAAAAAAAAAAAAAAAAAAAAAGAGAGAGAGAGAGTAGGAAACATTTATTAAGACAAAGAGAACTTCCGTCTAGAGAGACAGAAGTGGAACAAGAAGGTGGATAGCCTTCTCAAAAATGTTTTATGAGGTACACCCATGAAGTGAGGCAGGTACAAAATAGGAAAAAAATGTAAGACACAATGGAAAATCACAAAGTGTGTAGAGATGGGACAAAAACCACAATCAACTCATAAAGTTACAAATATGGTCACCGAAGTAATATTGATTAAATGAAGATCAAATGGGGAAACTACTCACATAGCAAGTGTACATGCATTTCCTAGAAGGAATAGGCTAGCTAGGGATAGTTTGTCCCCAATTAAGATGACTGAAGTCTTTTTATAATATCAGTCACTGCTATTCATCCCCAGGGGATGTAGACAGGTGTAGTAGTTTCTTTCTTTTTAGAATGTTGACCCTTCAGTGAATGTGCCTCAATAGTTTTCTGTGCTGAAGGCCCACCATTTTCCGAGTGTCTTCTAATAATTTCTAACTAATTTCACTGTCTGTAAATAGAGGGAATAGAAGCCAAAATGAAAATGTCTCTATTTCCCCGATTACAAGTCATTAAATAGAAGCTGACAAATGCAATCTGCCTGCAATTGTAAGGGTTAGCTGTGCAAAGCTGTACAGTGGCTCAAACACAACAGAAATGTATTTCTTTTTTCCTAAAGTCCAAAACACTGCGGTAAATTACTCTTATAACTTCCACACCCCCAGAGCAGCACTAAACCTGTGGTATCCCTCCTACAGTGGGCTGTTTGTATCATTGAGAGCTTTAAAAGGTCTACCATCAACGTTCTGGAGGCTGGAGCCTTTCCTGGAAGTGGTTGTAAGGAAGACACAGAGTGTAGAAAAGGCTCAGCTGCCTCATCATTACACTGGCCTGAAGATAGCCCTGTCTTATGTGGCTCTTACTTTGCCTCTAATTATTATTCTATACTCCCAGGTAAATACCAGGAGGAGGGGCAGTGTGATTACTGGCTAGGCTCTGTATTCCCAGAAAAATGAGCACCTCAGCCACACAGTCATTGCCTCCGGCAAGCATAGTAGGACTTTCCGAACACCTGTCTCCTTCATAGCTCCACATAAAAGCTGGACTTCCTGGCAGGCTGGAAGATCCAGGTGGGATCAGCAAGAATATGTGGGCACTGTAATGGGTGCAGATAGAGGAGCCCACCTAAGGAGAGAGGCTACCCCAGAGGCTATTCCTATGGACCAGTGAAGTGTGTATTTAGCACACCCACACCTTTGGTTTATCAAAGATGTAGAGCACCACAGTATAGTGGTCAAGACTACAGACTGTATGATCACTGTAAAGTCAGACTGAGGCACGATTGAGACCACCGAGGCCAGACAAAATATAAGTTGCATATGATTAGCTTATTGTTCTCTGGGTGCAGAAGAGCCAAGGGTGAGAAAGTCCTTGGCACTGATAGGAGGGTATGTGCAATTGATACAGGGTAGTGTAGGTAAGGGAGAGGGTACAGGTTTAGTAGGTGGAAAATTTTAATCTCATGGGTAATGGGCCTGGATTTGGCTGATAAACATGGTAGTGTTGAGAGCACCAGGGCAGCTGATGGCTTTCTGTTATCTCTGTGCTCCTATGGAAGCAGGTGATGGTTTTGCTTGGGCTGGGTTCCAACTCGCGAACCTGTCAGTCACATTGGATTTGTTCATTCATTAGCTCTTTCCAGGCACAAACACACAGCTTTGTATCCCCATAACTTGGTGCTTTCACATTCACTGCTACTCGCTGTCCCTGGTCATGGTAAGCTCCTTGAAAAGAAGGACCTTATCTTCACTACGCTTTTGTTTCCACAATATTTAAACAGGGATCAGGCATTGTGTTGAAGAATGAGTAGATAAATGGAGGAATGGATGACTAGAGACAAGGACTTTGAGAGATAGTGTTCATATACCATAATCACTTTCTGTCTGAAAATTCCAGCCATGGATGATAGTGAGTTCCTTTGTCCTGGTATGACAGGAGGCTGGACTATGTGGTAGGAATATTGTAGATAACTGAAGCATCAGAAAAGGAACTGGGGTGGGACATGGTGGCTCAAACCTGTAATCCGACCACTTAAGAGGCTGAGTCAGGAGGACTGCTGGGAGTCCGAAAACCAGCCTCGGCTACATAGTGAGTTCCACTTCAGTCTCAACTACATAGCAAGACCTTTTCTCAAAAAACAACAACAACAACAACAAAAAGGAACTGAATGAAAGCTATGATTGCAAACATGTGAACCTAGAACTCCGAAATGCTAGCCCAGAGAAACTTCAGATGTGTCCTACTCTTCTAGTGAGCAGCTCTACAACAAGTTACTTGCTCTAAAATATTCCTGCTTGCTTAGAGGACCCCATACCAAAGATTTGTCTTTCCTGAAGTAGCTGCCTGCTGCCATCTGAGTTTAGCAAGCTTACTGAAGCACTCTGAAGTTAGAGTTCTACAAGGGAGAAAGACTTACATGAGAAGTTGACAGAGGACATTTTGGCCATATGAAATCTGAGAGTTTAAAAAGGAGTGTTCAGCACCGTGCTTGACTCACAGGTACAAGGTCCTGAGTTTGATCCCTGTACTGAAAGAAAAAAAAAGAAAAAGAAAAACAGTGTTCAAATGAAACTAGGTCAACACTAGGTGGGTGTGGTTTGGAGGTTCCAAAGGACATTCAGAGACCTCATTGGATAAGGGAGAGCTCTCTTCAAACATAAGAGATTATGCAGTTGGTATAAGTGAGCAGGATACTACATGGGTATTAAACTCTTGGGCAGAAGCAGTATATGTCCTAGGCATAGCACAGAGACCTCACTGGCTCCAGATCTATCACCCTTCCGTGATGTGGCTGTATGCTGTGGTCCTGGCCTCTCTCACTGTTTGCACAGTTTCAGGTGAGTCCTTCTGAAATACATACATGAGGGTACATTCAGAAATCCGTGTGCTGAGCACAGGTGGGGAGGTATGTGTGTAGGGCAAGGGCTTGACAATTGCAGTTCTTCAGCAGTGCTTACACTCTGATTTGATTTGGAGGCCTTGAGACCAGGCAGCCAGCAGAGACTCAGGAAGAGAAAAACATCTGAGACTGCAGGCTTCAGGCCTCAGGCACAGGAAGGCACAGAGACAACCTCACGCCTCGCACATGAGAAATACAGAGAGTTTGCTTTCTTCCCTTTTTGAATCTTAGTCCAGATCTGGCCAAATCATGGGAGGTGCTTAGCAGAATACTGACTTGTATGTCTCTAGGGAAGGCACTTAACTGTGTTGTGCCTGGTTTACTCTAGAATAAGGATCCTACCATTCTACATAGTTCATTGGGCTGTATTAAAATGAAATAATTTGTTGTTTCTAAAGTGCTTCGAGTTGTTCCTGGTCTACAGAAGGTATAGGAAAGGGATGGACAAGCAAAGGGATTGATTTAAAATGAACTATAGTAATAGAAAATTTGACACATGGTATAATCAAATCAGGAGCCATTGTGTAAAGATAATCTGTTACTAACTGTTCCCCAGATGCAAAGGTATATCTATTGGTAGAAGCATGGGGGACACACCAGCGTCAGTCAGGAAGCAGAAGGACAAGGTGACGTGGCCAGACTCTTCACTGTTGTTTTCCCTGGAAGAGAGGAGGCAGAGGAAGATGGTGATTGGAGGTGGAGTTGTTTCAGTTCATTTGGGGGCTCAGCAGCTATCTCTGAACATCTCATGCCTTATGAGACATCATAAGGAAGTGGATGGAGTATGCGCTTTGAATTGGTGGGATCCTAAGAGTGAGAATTCCTCCAGGATTAGCCCACATCACACATCTAATCACCAGATAAAGAAAATAAAATCCACAGTTATCAGTAAGGGACCTTAGCATACACCTGTGCCATTGTATGGAGGGAGAAACGGATTATCTGGGGAATACACTTGTGCAGTGTCGGCCGGAAAATCATGGTGTAGTGTTCTATCTGGCTCCTGAAGCCAGAGGCAGTATTTAGGCCCCGCATGGATTAACTTCTTTCTGGCCATGTGATAGTGTGAGAGGCCTGGACCTGAGTGCTAGGCAATGAGAAAGGACCAAAACTGGAGTGGAACATTGCTTTACTGGTTACCACTGCAATTTCACTCCACTTTCATCTGTATGACGCCCATACAGTCTGCTTCCACTTGCGTAGTTTGTTCATCTGTTAAGAGGAAATAATAATAATCGCCTAAGCAAATCTTTACTGAGACATAAAAGGCACTGGAAAGCATATCCCAAAAATAGAGCTGAAAATACACATATTCCACATAATTTGAGTGGTAATTGCTGTTTCTATCATTCTTATTCATTACTTCTACTGCAGTAAATTTCATTATCACCTTGGGAAATCTGGTTTCTACAGATTTCGTCTGGATTAAAGGCCAGCACTGAGATAACACAGGCTGTACCTCATGATTTCTGATCTGATTGCATCCTTCTTCGCTTCTTTGAAGCCCTCAGTGCCTCTGCCACCCACTCCACACATTTTCCTGGGCTTCCACGATGCTGTGCCTTTCTCCAGCTTCCACTCTGGTGGTTGCTCTCAGTCTCTGTTGTAGTTGTGTTTGTGTTTTATTCTCAGCTCTTTCTCTTCTCCCAAAATGGTATGCAGTGAAGTCGCACCCTCACTGCAGGAGATGTCTCTCCCTGCCTTGCAACGCTTCCTTATACTTTTGAGATGCCTATGATGCAATGCATTTTCTGAAAAACATTTGCACTGACTTCCTCACTAAACATATTTAAAACGGAACCAGCATCATAAAACCATCGTTCAGTGCTTTTTCCCTTCCACAGTGCTGACAGCTGGTCAGGAAGACCAACCCCTTTAAAATGTCCCACTTACCTCTTCATATTTCTTCATAATTTCTGTCTTTGGAAACATGGCTCTATCTGCAATGCACAAACCTTGGGATGCACAAACATAGCGTTATGCAATGTTACCTCTAAATTTACAACTGAATGTATATTCTTCTAAGAAGTACATCTTGATGTTGATGGTAATAATTAGGAACCAAACATGGAAATGAGCAAGAATTTATTCTCAACGATACATGACATTAAGATAAATTTGTAATCTGGCATTTTCGCTTGGCAAAGACTTTCCTCTATTTCTGGATATTCTCCTTGATATATTCTTCATCTGACAGCAATTTTGTACCCTGATACACTCAAGATCTTAAGGTTGAAAAGTCAGAAGTGAAAACTCCTGAGTCAATGCATCATAAATTGGGCAATGTCTACATGTATCCTAAAATGTTCACCTTGGTGTTGTTTGGAATAACGAGCAACAATAAGAACCAATAATGTAATTTTTCACATTAAGAACATGGTGTTTGTTGCATTGCAACACAGATTCCATAGTGCAACCTGTTTTCTCATGACCTGGTTGTCATTCCATGAGCCTTTCTTCCACTGGATTAAATGTACTCTACTCTCTGGACCCACATTTTGTGGAAATGTTCACATGTTTTCTATATCCAAGGAATAACACCCAGAGAACAAAAGATACAAATCATCTGTGATGAGGGACACTCTTACAAAACAAAGTTAGAAAGTCTAGGTAAGAAAAATCTTCAGGGATGACTATTACCAGTGGTCTGATAACCCACCTGTCTCAAGAAAGATGATCACATCAGTTCACTCTGCTTCTGCATCAGAATCAGGGCTGATAAAGTTTCAGGAAAATGAAAAAGAAATTTTTTCCTTACAAGAAAGGAGCAACAAGAGCAGGCAAGAACCTGGCCCGAAATCTCTCTCCACTCTAAACGTTTCTGCTCAGAACCAGAAAATCAACATTCCACGGTCTCATCGTGTCCTTTACTCCAGAACTGCTTATCTGTTCTCTACATGACACCCAATCTCTCATACCAAGGCCCTCCCTGACATGAAAACACTCATTCCAGGACAATTTTCCACTGCCATGGACTTCGTGTGGTGACATTCACAGCAAATTCTCTCTTCCTCAGCAAGTCTCTGGTTTCCTTCCTTTGTGTATTCTCTCGGGTCTGCTTTTTATAGACCCCTCCAACTTACGCTTATTCAGCCTCTCCTGCTCCAAGTTCTAGCTGCTGCAGGAGGTCCTCATGCAGAAAGCCTTATTGCTTCTTTCAACTCCTGAAACATTCTCCCGGTTCCACACCCAGGACACAACCTTTGTCCTCAGCAGCTTGGACCCAGTACACCTGTGCCCTCCTGAGGACGGGAGACACCACTTGTCCATCCTCTTCTCCAGCATGCAGTTAGACTCCAGTCTCCCAATGGATAAATGTTTGCAGAGGTTTCTAAAAGGGAAACCAACTGTCTGAGAACCTCTCCTTTTATAGTGGTATTTGGCTGGATGCATTTCTACCTTTGGTTCTACTTTACTCCCTCAGCCCTCTGAGTTAGAAGGGACAAATTTCCCTTATGCATATTTTATAAGAGAAGAGATAGAGGCCTAGAAGCTTTAGGTGACTTATTCAAGGTGACATGCCTGAAGAGTGGCACAACACCTGGAATCTGGGCCTCACTTCTCCCTTCTGACATGATCTCAATACCTCTCCATGTCCAGCAGGACACACATCCTCACCACCTGTGGTGGACACCGTGCATGGCAAAGTCCTTGGAAAGTACGTCAGCTTGCAAGGAGTTGCACAGCCTGTGGCCGTTTTCCTGGGAGTCCCTTTTGCCAAGCCCCCTCTCGGATCCCTGAGGTTTGCTCCTCCACAGCCACCGGAGCCATGGGACAACGTGAAGAACACCACCTCTTACCCTCCCATGTAAGTAGGTGTGGGTGGCTTTGCCATTTCTCAGTGCAGATATTTATGTCAAACTGTTGCAGAAGCAGGGAAGGAAATTCTCTTGTTAGCATGCATTTTCTCCTGAAGTCCTCATGAACACTCTAAACACTTGTAAATATTCCATATCTGTCTCACCTTTCTGGAGTCTTTTATTCATTACTTATTTATTGAGCATCTATTGTGTTCCAGGCATGTTTTAGCTTCACAGAATCCATCAGTGAACAAAACAAAGCTCCATTTCTTCAGGAAACTTACATTCTACAAGTACAGATACAGAAAAAACAAAATGTACATCGAATCAGAAATGGTGTGACATGTTATTATGTGACCTGTAAAGGGTGAAAAGCTGTAGGTGGGTAGAGGAGGAAGATAAGAAGTACTGATCTTATCAGTGCTCAGACTGTGACCTTCGCATGGCCCAGAGGTAGGTGAAGAGGTGCACTGGAAGCTGCATGACATTGCAGTTTTCAACTGCCAGGTGTGTCTCCACGCCTGCTGATCAGCAGAGGGGTGGTTGGTGTGACTCAGTAAGGCTGGCCACTCAAGTGTGAAAGAACAAAGTCCTCAGGTTGCTTCACAATGAAGGAAACTAGATTTGGCTGAATTTCTTTCTTCATTTCTTCCTCTCTTGCTCTCTCCTGTAGTGGTTAAATGTTCTTCTCCTCTAACATCCTTTATTCCTCGCTTTTAAGTCTACTGTACTTATTCTAGGTGTGCTGCTTAATGGCGACTGGACTGGATTGAGAGACACCTAGGAAGTTGTAAAGGACACGTCTGGGTGTGTGTGAGGGTGTCCCTTGAGGGTGGCAGGTGGAAAGGAGAACTGCTGGGTGACTTGAGCCCCGAATGGGAGCAGTGCTATCCACCAGGTGAAGGATGTAACAGAAATGGTTCAGAACACTTTAAGTTTGGTTTCTAGAGGACTTTTAAATTTGTAAAAGGAAAGTAGAGAAGACTCAGAACTTTGTAAGTGGAGCCTTAATGAGCTCAGAAGACCAGAATTCTGGTAGGAAAACAGAGGTTTCTAAAAATAAATGAAGGAAACTACTGAGACCTGGGTTAGAACCCATGTACGTTAAATTCTGAAAAAGTATGTCTATAATTTGCCTAAGTCCTAAGACTTTTCAGGAAGTTGAGTTTAAAGGTAATGGACTAGTTTATCAGGCAGAAAAAGTTTTGAAACAGCACAGTAGTCAGTTGGTAGTTGAGGTATTGCTCACCACTTTTAGCAGGATTTGCAATAATAATAAAGATCAAAGAGCAGAGCTAAAGTTGTTTGTAAACTTGTAATTTGATCAGGATTAAAGCTTGTGCAATTGGAGGTCTGAAGAACATATGACTGCTGAAGAGATTGTTGCCATTAATAAGAATTCAGGATGGCTGTATAGAGGAGGAAGCACAATGGGGCTACTCAGAGAAATTAAACTAAAAACACAGGAAATTGGAAGAAAGAGAAGAACATACATTTTGATAACAAATGAAAGACACTTTTATCAAACACAGCATTGGTACAGAGCTGTATAAAATGGCACAGCAGCCCACAGAGCTGCTAGGGGCACTGGCCCAGGTCCACAGTACGGGAACTGCCACTCCACGAAGTTCCAAAAAAATCTGTGGACTTCAAAAGTGTGGCAAACTCAATCCACACAGAACAGATGTGGAGCAGAAGGCCCTTGCCTCTTCAGTGCTGAAGACAGAGGACTCTGAAGCCTGGCAACAGATCCCACCAGCACACACAGGGGTTAGTGGCCAGGAAGCGCTCCCTCCCAGCAGGCTACCAGTGACTTTTCTTTTTTCTTTGTTCTGCACCATAGCAGCTACCTGAAACCTCTAGCAACAAAACACATGGGGTCTGCAGTGGTGGCTGTAAGGGCAGTGAGTGGAACTCCAGGACCCCACCTGCTCAGAAACCAGCAGGCAGCAGGAGGGGATATGGATCTCAGACACAGGATTCAAGCAGCTGAGCGCTGGCAGGACAACAAGTGGAAAGTGAAGTCAGCTATTCCCCTACCCTGTGACCAGCAGTGAGAAAGGAGCCAGAAGAGTGGAACAGAGGAGCCTGTGCAAGGGCCAAAAGGGGCCACCTGTACACTAAGAAAATTAAAAATTAGAAAAGAAAAGAAAAAGAAGCCAAGTACTTTGCACTGGGAAAGAATAAAGATACCTTAGGACATCTCAGGAATTAACAAGACCCCATCCATCAGAGGCTCGCAATGCAGAAGTATGAAGCTTTCATCTGATCCGAGAGAGCTTGAGCCCCCTGCTCCACAGGGCCACCTTCAGAATTGTTTCCCCAGAATTCTTTTCACGGTAGTCTGCCATCCAGGCATTCACAGCCTATCAAAGCCTTGTTCAGCGAATCCCTTCCACAGGTGAAGCTAGTTGTACACCATGGAATCATCCATGTGAAGCTAGTTTTGCAGTCATATGTAATGTAAATTAGGAGCTCATGTAGCTTTCCAACTAGACTACGGAACGATCACTTTCAGATCACAGCACAAAGCCCTGCAGAGAAAGGAGTCCTGTCCTAGGAGTATAGGAGATGTCATAAGGGGGGTCGCTGTACGGAAATCTCATTTCCTCAGCTCAGGGTGTCCCAAAGTCTTCTGGAAGGGGAGTTGTGCCAAGTCCTTGTATTCTGCATGGAAGAAAACAGAGAATCCTAACTTTACCCATGCAGTAACTCCAGTGTGTGAAAGGAGAGCATTCCTATTGCGTATTCTGAAGACTGCCTGTACCTAAATATTTACACTCCTGCTGACTTGACAAAGAAAAGCAGGCTGCCGGTAAGCTTGAGGACCACTGGTCCAGACTTTTGCGCTCCCAGCATCCTGGTGCTGTTGCAATAGATGACAAAGGCAGCTTGGGTCAGGGAATCTGTAAGTGAAAACACGTTCAGAGCCTGGAGCTTCCTTTCACCACAGGGAATACGTGCTGTCCTTACCTCAGTTTCTCCTAGTGACTCCAGGTCTCCAGGAGGGCATTGCTGTCTACGTGGAATGACCTTTTTAAATTTTCTAAATGATAACTATAGTGATACAAGGGCAAGAATGATTCCTCGTAGTTATTAGATTATGAATATATGGAGAATCTGACCCCCAAAGCAGTTAAAGAATAATTTCCTATAATTATATCTGGGAGAATGAAAATTGAAAACCCATCCTCCCTTTATGTGCAGGGACCCAGAGGCCAAGAATGAGGAGAAGGCCACACAGTATAATTCTCAGTGCAAGATATTTCCTCTTCTGATTTTCATCCCAGTGTTCTTTGATATGGAATAGGAACTGGAACATTTGTGTCACGTTTTTTTCAGCTTTAATTGAGTTTATTGGTACATTTTAGGGATACTGTATAGTTACATTTATTGTTGGGATCTTGAACCTCTACATGACAAATGTTGATTCTCATTTTTTCCCCTTACCTCTGCCCTCCCTTCATACCCTCGTCCCCTCCCCATCTACAAACACTTTATTTTCATCTTTTCATTTTCTCACATTTTCTTCTTTTCCCTTATTACCCTTCCCCTACCCATCCCACCTTCCCTAGCCCTTTAGCTCCTTTCTTTCTATTTCTAAATGTCAGTAATCTTATTAGGATCTTATGTTTTATTGCAGATTATTCACACCAGAGAAACTATTCGGTATTTACACGTGTGACTTATTTATTTCACTTAGGAGTATATCCTCAATATGTATACATTTTCCTATGAATGAATCTATTTTCTCGTTCTTTATGGCTGAGTAATATTCCATTTTATAGAAAAGCCACTTCTTCTTTATCCACTTTCCAACGGATGGGCAAATGGGTTGTTTCCAAGATTTAGCTATTACCAACTGTGCCGCTATAAACATGGGTGCGCATACTTCTCTGTGATATGATTCTTTTAGTTCTCTTGGAAAGATACCCAGCAGAGGGATGGCTGGGTCAAATGGAACCTCCAGTCCAAGCTCTTTGAGGTATCTCCATATTGATTTCCATAGTGGTTGCACCAGTCTGCACTCCCACCAACAATGGAGAAGGGTTCCTTTCTCCCCACAACCCCGCCAACATTTGTTATTGTGTGATTTCTTGATAGCAGCCATTCTTTGTGGGATGAGGTGGAATCTCAGTGTTGTTTTCATCTGCATGTCTCTAATGATCAGTGATGTGGAACATTTTTTTTCATATATTTACTTGCTGCTTTTACTTCTTTGTCTGAGAAA